CCACCCATCCACCCATCCATCTACCTACCCACCCATCCATCCACCTACCCACCTATCCACCCGCCCATCTACCTACCTACCCACCCATCCACCCGCCCATCTACCCACCTATCCACCCATCCATCTATCCACTCACCCATCCATCTATCCACCATCCATTCACTCATCCATCTATCCATCCATCCATCCATCCATCCATCCATCCATCCACCTACCCATCTACCCACCTATGCACCCACCCAACCATCCATCTATACATCCATCCATCCACTCGTACCCCCGTACCCCCATGCCTCATTCCCTAATGGCCTATTTGGAGGCTTGTGCTGCATGGGACATAAAGATAACTAGACACAGTTCCTGCTTTCAAGGACCCCCCAGAATACACCCACTGTAGTCCCAGTGATGTAAGGACTTCTAGGGCCACAGTAAAGTGTGTTGTTCATGCTGTGTGGGTCAGAGAGGGAGGTGAAGGAAGGAGGCTGGTGTGATCTCCAGGAGTCAGGAAGGACGTGTTAGATGCAAGCGTGGGGGTGATTATGGTTTCAGACGCAGGTTGTGGTGGAAGAGCTCCCCAAGGGGAGGAGCAGCATCGGCAAAGTCTCAGAGGGGACAGGAACAGGCAAGTCTCAGGGAGGCATCTATGGTTCACTCTGGCTGCAGAGCTGGAGGGGCAGAAGACAGGAGTTCCTATGTGCACCCTGGAGGCTGGTGGGCTGGGAGGTGGCAATGTTGGGCCAGACAGGAGGGCAGTGGCCTGACTTGGGGAGGAGGGATGGAGAGAACCACGAAACAGAGGGAGATGAAGAGGTGAGGTAGAAGCACCCAGAATGCAGATCTGACTACCTTTTCCCAGGCAGCCTCTGAGCCCTGCTGGCCCTGCTGGCCCTGCCTCCCTCGCAGGGGTCGCCCGAGGCCTTGAACTCACTGTGCCCTCCCACCTCTAGGCCTCAGGGGAAGCTGTTCCCCAGACAGGAACACCCTTTCAGCCTGGTACACCTGCCTCCCCGAGGCGAGGGTATAACACTACTTTCCAAAAGAGGAAACTGAGGTCTCTGGGGGTGGAGACTCACCCTGCTTGTCCCCTGGCAGAGGGAAGGAGCACTTCCTGCTGGGAGACAGGCCTGGGTTGGTCTCATCTCTTGTCCACCCACCAGCAGCTTTCTGCCTGCTGTCTCTGAAATGGGCTGCTGTTCCTGGCCCCCTTGCAGGCCATATAGGTGGTAAGAAGGAGCCTGGGGAGCCATTGGGGAGGCAGCCCTGAGGGTGTGTGGTCTCTGCCCCTGACTCTGCACAGGAGGTAATGCTGGAGGTGTGGTCCCTTGGCCGGGGCAGGAGGACCTCAGGGCCAGCCTTTGGTTCTTTCTGTCCCTTTCTCATGCCCAGGGGGTCCCTGGTGCTAGATTAGGACTCTGGGCCTGGCTGGGCCCAGTTCTAGGCTAGGTGCCCCAGTCTCCCCAGACTGCTGCCACCTGGGACCTTCTTTCACACCATCCCCTGCACACCCACAGCTCAGCCTCTGCCCTGCTTCAGCAGAGCCAACTTCACAGGTGTTTCTGGGCACAAAGCCCTGCCCATCACCCTGGCCACATTCCCTCCTGCAGTCCAGGCCACAGCTGCTATACCCTAGCCCCCACCAACCCCTGCCTTCTCTGGTCTCCACCCAGGCCTTTGTCTCAGCCTGTTCCCGGCCTTGCTGCCCTCTGCTTGCCCAGGTGCTCCGCTCTGGTCGCTCCCAGCACCTCTGGGCCCTCTCAGTGATCTGTAGTACCTGGATCCTGGTCTCCTCATTGCCTAAGACTGATGCCTAAGCCTCACCTCACATGCCTTTATTTCATCCTTACTGCACATCCTGTGAGGAGACAGGGCAGGGTCGTATCTGCAGGTTTACAGAGGGGTAAACTGAGGCCCTGAGAGGCTGAGGGGCCTGCCCAGAGCCACTGAGCAGCTGGGGAGCCAGTCTCACCCACACGGGGCTGCAGGTCTCTGGGTGTGGCCTCTGCCTCCCCCTAAGCGGGGGTGCCCTCTACTTGGTAACAAGAGCTGGGATGTTGGGCCTGAGCAGTCAGTGTCTGTGGTCTCCGAGGTCATGGTAGGCACTTAGCATTCAGTGGTATCAGTCAGCCAGGGCCACATGATGCTGCATAACAAACGGTCTGAAAGCTCATGTTCCTTCCTTCTCACAGATCAGTGGGTTGGCTAAGTCTGGTTGATCGCAGCTCAGCTGGGCTCTGTCACTCATCTGAGGGCTAGGTGGGGTCCAGGCCTCCTGGGCTGGGCAGAGCTCTGTGCCACACATCCCTCATCCTCCTCCTGGGAGCAGCAGCTGGCCAAGGCAGAGACACATGAGGCTTCAGATGGGGACTGGCATCTGTCACTTCTACCACAGCGGGCCCTATGGCCTTAATGGGGACATGGGAGAGCCCTGCAGGGTGTGTGGGTGCAGAGCTAAGTGTGTGGGTGCAGGAGGGGTGCAGACTCAGCCCAACAATGTGATTTCCCACAGGCACAGAAGACCAACTTGCTGAGAGAGCCTCACGCTGGGCCCCTGAGTTGGGAACTAGTCCTACTCTCATTTCCACATGAGACGACAGTTCAGAGAGGTGCGGTAATCTGGCCAAGAGCGCCCAGCCTGTTAGGACAGGGTCAGACTGCCACCCAGCCTTGTCTGTCTCCAAAGCCTGAGCTTACTCCCTATTTCTACCTCTCCTGAGTGTGAGTCCTTCAGGAGGCAGAGGGGGACCAGGGCTCAGGATGATTGAAGCCAAGACCGAGACTGTGGTCAGAGCCTTGGTCTAGAGCAGGACACTGAAGTATGCGGAGAAGATGCGGGAGGAGGGCAGGGCAGGACCACCGGCAGGCAGGCCCCCCCCAGGCAAGGGCTAGAACCAGCCCCAGAGCAGCACCTGGGGCCCCCCTCTTTGTTCCCCAGGTATTGGGGCTCCACTGAACTTTGAGGCCCCTGTCAGTACTTCACATAGCCCAAACCTTAGTTACCAGCTGAGGTCACAGGTTCAGTCTCCTCCCCGTGCACAGCCAGCTCACGGGATCCACCTGCTTCCCGGTGTGAGTGGGTTAGATGCGGGTGTGGGGGGGGGCGGGGAGCGGGGGAAGGCAGCTCCTCTTAGCTCAGACGTCAAGGACAGATTTTCACACTACAGGAGCTCTCAGCTGCATGAATGTAGAATGAGGTCGTTAGCTAAGAGGGCGGGGACACCTGCAGGCCTGTGGTGGCAGAGTGGCCCCATGAAATTGGATTTCTCATTATCAGACCTTCCTTGTCAGTGGTGTTTGTGTGAGGCTGTTTGTTCCGAGAATGGAGTTAGGGATGGGGGTGGGGGAGAGGGGATAGTTTGCTTTGCAGACATCAAACTGCTGGAACTGGGAATCTGTGGCTCCTGCCACATCCAATTATTTTGTCCCAGGAATTTGAATGCATCCTCCCAAGTCGGGTCTTAACCTTCTCTTGGCTGATGGAACAGGGTGGTTTGACCTTCCTCATCTCAAACCGTGTGCAAAAGAAAAATGGCACTTTGAGTAGATTGTGGTGAGATGGCTGTGGGTCAGCCCTTCTGGGACGTGACCTTTGGTTCAGACTGAGCACCATGGAGGAAGAGTATAACAAACAGAAGCAGGTGTGATGCTGGTTAAGGGTAAACTCCATGAGGGCGGGGGGAGTGTCTGTCCTTGGTCCCTGTTATGTGACCGGTATGTATACATGATCAATACATATTTTTTAAATAAGTGAATCTGTGGCACGTTTCTAAACGCTGCTCCCCTGAGGTGCTCTGTGACAAATGGGTTCTAGAATGAAATAGGGAAACATGCATAGTCTTGAAGGTTCATGATACCCATGAATGTGTTCAAGGTTCTGAGAAGTCCTGCAGTGAAGAACTTCCATATTAATTTCTTTAATCTGACAGTTTCCAAAATCATTTTCCCATTTCTCTCTGTAGCCTGGACACTGGCTCAGCCAGAACTTTGGGGCAGAGAGCGCGGGGCTGTGTCCAAAGTCTCCATGTCTCCTTCTCACTCTGACCTTTATTTTCTATGCAACCTGCAAGCAATGTTTGTGGAGAGAACGTGCCGGAAACAGTTGCTGCCTTTGTTTCCCAGAATATTCCAGGCTGGGGAGAGGCCTTGGGGACACAGTGGCTGGACAGCCAGGCAGCCAGGTGGAGCTCTGTTCTGCTCACGCTGAGGTTCCATCTTGGCCTCGAGGTCCCCAGAGGTGTGCTCTGCCTGCTTGGGAGTGCTGTCATGTGGGGTAGTCCTGGTTTCTTCTTCCTGCCAACTATGGAGGGGACAGCCCTGCTGAGCTGGTGGCCCCTGGCCGCACTCTGCCTCCATCTTGGCCCTGCCCCCATCTCAGTGGCCCTGTCTCTTCTATGCTCCAGCAATGAACCTCCCAAGTGGAGAAGGACTCTGCTTGCCGGCCTTCCCCACCAGGCCTTCACCATCGCCACCTTCAGATCTTGCTTTATAGCTTTCACTCCGTGTCTGTTGTTGCATCTGGTGCACATGACTACCTGGGACAGGCAGGCTGGCAGGTGTGTTATTCCCATTGTACAGGTGAGGGAACCGAGGCCTGCCAGATAGCAAGACTGTCCTTGCCCAGCCCCCCCAGGAGGTGATGGGGGTGGCCTGGCAGGGCTGGTGTTTCTGGATGAGGCTTACTTAGGCCTATTCACCTGATGTACGGGCCACCTGGCCTCTTGGCAGGTGGCTGTGTTGCCGTGGGAACTGCCTGGCCTGTTTGCGTTCATGGTGGGGCTGGGATGGCTGGGCCGATGGGGAGGGAACACACCAGGCATGAGGTCACACAGAGAATTAGGAGCATGTTCTGATTCACCCCATACCCCCTTTTCTACCACACTAGACCACTGCCCCAAGGAGAAGGGGGGGTCACCATGGTTGTGTCTAAGGCCCAGGAGAATGTAGAATGGAAAAGGGGCACTACACTAGGTGATGCTGATATGGGGGCTCCCACTGTGTCCTGTAGCAAGGCTCACTGTGGTGAGCCCCCTTTGTGGGAGAGTCAGTGGAAGGCCTCAGGGGGTGGGGAAAATTGGTGTATTTGAGTTATTCAGTAACCAAGCCAGGGTCTGAACGCCAGGTGGATCTACAGGGGGGCCATGTCTGAGGCTCTAGCCCAGGTTGGGGGGACAGGGAGAGGGACAGTCTCCAGCTTTCTTTGTGGCAGATTGGGCTGGCCAGGTACTGCCTGTCTGTGAGTTGAACTCTGGGCCACTTTGAGCCTTGATCTCCTCCTAACGGTGCTTTGCTGAGGGAAACTCAGCTGTTCTGAGGGGGAGTCTGCCACCCAGGGATCCTTGCTGTGTTCTCTGGCTAGACTTCCTCACCAGGCAGGACTCCTACCAGGGGTCACCACCATCATGGAGCCCTCTCTACCCTGCCAGGCCCCCTCCAGGCAGGACTCCCACCAGGGGTCACCTCCATCATGGAGCCCTCTCTACCCTGCCGGGCCCCCTCCTTGGTGTTTGTCTTTTTCACTAGAGCAAGCTTGTGAGTGGCTGGGGAATGACACCCTGTCCGTGGAGGCTGTGAGGGGACACTGGCTGACCATTGATTGCAAATGTGGTCAGGGATTCACACTGCAGGTGGAAGCTTGGGTGAACTCAGGTGGAGGTCATGGAGGACAGCATGGATCTGGTACTTGGGGTCCAGGGTCTGGACTGGGGCTGGCATCTGAAGGGGCCTTGTCATTGTAGCTGCACAACGTGACCCTGGCCCTGGAGCTGCTGAAGGACGAAGGTCTACTCAGCTACCCTGTCAGCCCCGAGGGTGAGTGTGTGGCAGGTGCCAGTGCCATGGCCAGCTCTGGCTGACCAGCCTCATTCGAGAGCCAAAGAACAGGCACAGGGTGTGGGGGTGAGCTTGTGTCGGTGGTGTCCTCTTGCTTGGTGGGGTGGGTGATGACCGCTTTCCAGGGCTTCCGGGGAGGGGACTGAGGCCCTAGTGGAGGGTTCCTGGGGAGAGGAGCGGATGGAAATCTCTGGGGAGCCAGCCTGGGAGGAGTTGCTGTATTGGGGGCACTACAGGGGATGGCAGGGTCATGTGACACACCTAGTGCTGGTTTACCAGCGAGGAACGCCTCAGTCCCCCACAAAGCAGGCTGGCTGGTCACCACCTGCCCCCTGCCTTGCCCCTGTCTGGCCTGCAGACATTGTGAACAAGGACGCCCGGAGCACCCTGCGTGTGCTGTATGGCCTGTTCTGCAGGCACAAGCTGAGAGTAAACACGGACGGGACACCCTGGGGAGGCACAGACTAACCCACGCAGCCCCTCAAAAGCTCGTGCGCCTACCTGCTGGCCCAGCTGGATGGCTGGGGGACACTACCTGCTGCCCCCCTGCATCTGCGACTTGTCCCCTTCCTGCCTGTGTCTCCTGGCTCCATCGTCTGAGTATCTCAGGTGGGGATCCATTTGGAGTCAACATTTGTCCTTGTTCAATTTGTTTAAATAAAAGTATTTCTGGGAGGGTCTGGGAGCCTGCAGGCGTCCTTAGTTGTGTGTCCATCTGGGTTGAGCCCCACATGGCTCTTCCTCTGCAGGCTCTCATCGCTGAGTCCAGGGCAGCAACAGCCCAATGGGAGGTTATGGATACCTGGGGCTTGAGGCTGTCAGCATCAGGGCTGATGGCCCAGGCCCTGGGCTATCCCCATCCAGCTGCCTGCCACTATGTCTCACTGGCCCTCTGTGCCACCATGCAGAGGCATGAGACCCCAAACCCCCCACCACACTCCGAGAAGCTAATTCAGTCCCTTGCCAAAGGAACCATGGCCCTGGCTGACCCCTGTAGCTTTGATGGTGAGTTCTGCCCAAAAGTCACAAAGAAGAAATCTATGTAGTAGATTAGTGGCCAAATCATCTCCACTCTGTCCCCAGAGAGCCATAGTGCCCCAGTCTCTCCAGCGAGACTCAGCATTTTCTGCATTCATTAGGAAAAAGAAGAACTTTATAGAATTGAACATAGGTGTTCCAGTCCACTTCCATGATAGGGCAGAGTATCCCCCACACCCCTCTTCCCCTGGAGCTAATATCTGATGGGAACCAGCTGGGAGGAGGCAGGCAAGGAGGGGTGAGGCCAGAGGGAGAGCTGCGAGTGCCCAGGCTGCACTCCCCACTAGCAGAGTGGCTGTGGCTTTGAGGAGACACTTTGGAGGAGGTGTTGGGAAGATAGATTGTCCAGGCCAGACCAGCCCTTCCATAGCCAATCTCCTTCTCCAGACCTCTGGCCTGTCTGGAGAGACCCAGAGCCAGGGATGCAGTTGCAGGCCAGCCTGGAGCTAGTGTCTGAGTGTGCAGGGGTCTTGAGGGGTCTTCCCTCCACCCTACCTTCCGACTTACAGAGCAGTCAGGAACTTTTACATGGGCTCCATTTGGGCTTTCAGCCATATCAGATGTGCCACTCTTTTTCTGAACCTGCCTTCCCTGCTGCCTCTAAGAAATGTCCTTCCTCCTACATACCTGGAGCCAGCTCCCTCCTGCTCAGGTACCTTCTACTGAGGTGCTCCCTGTAAGGCCTCACCCTCTCTGTCCTGGAGCTCCCTGTGGGCACAGGCTTAGCCTCTCCCCTTTCCACACCTTGCTTCATCCTTGAAAGCCTGAAATTCACATCCTTTTTCCTGGAGTCTGTGCTTCCCCACTCACATGGGCCTCACCCCCTACAGGCTGGCTCTGCCTGGCTGCTCCAAGTTCTCACTCTCATTCTGTTTGACAGCATTTTTTTAAAATTTCAAATTATTTAATTTTGTATAGCTGTATTGAGGAAGAATTTTGCTATTGGCAAACTTTCCCAATTTTAAGTGCGCAAGTTGATGGGTTTTGACAAATGTGTACAGTCGCATAGCCGCCACAGCCATGATCAAGACACAGAGCATGCACATCATTCCGCAGGTTCCTGCAAGCCCTTCCACAGCCAATCCCCTTTTCCAGACCTCTGGCCCTGGAAACCATCGCTCTGCCTTTTATCATCATCATTTTGCCTTTTCTAGAATCTTTTATGAATTGTATCATACAGCACGTTGCCGTTTGTGCCTGGTTTCTTTTCACTTAGCATAATGCTGTTGACATGGCCCACATTGTTTCTTGTATTAATACTGCATTCCTTTCTATTTTACGGTTGCACAATCATTTGTTTATGCATTTGCAAGTTTGGGGTTCTTTTCAGTTTTCAGTTTTTATGTTTAATATTGCTATTCACATACAAGTCTCTGTGTGGACATGTGCTTTCATTTTCCTTGGGTAAACACCTAGGACTGGAATGGCTGGGTCATATGGTAAGTGTATGTTTTACATTATAAGAAACAGCCAAACTGTTTTTCAGAGTAAACATACCACTTGGCATTCCCACCATCAATGTATGGGAGTTCCAATAGCTCCACATGCTTGTCAACACTTGGTATTGTCAGTCTTCTCAATTTTAGCTATTCTACAGAATACAATGGTATCTTAATATTGTGGTTTTAATTTTATATGCCTAATGACTAATAGTATTGAGTATCTAGGTTGGCATGGGCTGCTGTAACAAGATGTCATGTGTGTGTGTGTGTGTGAGAGAGAGAGAGAAAGAGAGAGAGAGATTGAGAGAGAGATAACATTTTGGTGTCCTTTCTTCTTATAAAAAAAGTAACCCCATCAGGGGGTCACACCCTCATGACCTCATCTAAACCTAATTATCTCCCAAAGCTCCACCTCTAAGTGCCATCACATAGGGTAGAAGAGCTTCAACCTCTGCTTTTTAATTGGAGGGTTTAATCCATTTACATTTTTTGTGGTAAAATATACATAACATAAGGGGGTGGCACCTGTGGCTCAAAGGAGTAGGGCACCAGCTCCATATGCTGAAGGTGGTGGGTTCAAACCCAGCCCTTGCCAAAAACTGCAAAAAAAAAAAAAAAATATATATATACATATATATACACATAACATAAAATTTACCATTTTAGCCATTTGAAGTGTGTAATTCAATGGCATTAAGTATATTCATACTGTTGCACAACCTTCACCACCATCCATTTTCAGAACTTTTTCATCACACTGGAACTCTGCACCCATTAAACACTAACTCTCCATTGTCCCCTGCCTGCAGTCCCTGGACACCACTATTCTACTTTGTCTCTATAAGCCTGATTAGTCTAGGTACCTTTAGTCTGTTTAAATTAGATGCAATTATTGATATCATCTGGCTATTTATTTTCTGTTTGTCCCATTGATGCTTTGTTCATATATTTTCTCTTTTCTTATTTCTTTTGAAGTAAAGACTTTTTAATGATTTGGTTTATTTCTATTATTGGCTTACCAGCTTTGTTTTATTTTGCTAGCAGTTGCTCTAGACTTTATAATATATATTTGCATTAGTGTCCTATAGCTGATATAATAAATTGCCACAAACTTAATATCGTTAAACAACAGAAATTTATTTTCTCACAGTTGTGGAGGCCAGAAGTCTGATATTAAGGTGTTCACAGAGTTGTGCTCCATCTGGAGGCCCTATGGGAATTCTGCTTCTTGTCTCTTTTGTCTTCTGGTGACTACCAGCATCCCTGCTCCCTGCACTTGGAGCTGCATCACTCCAACACCCACCTCTGTGGTTGTATTGTGTCCCCCTCTTTTCTCTGTGTGCCCTACCTCTGTATGTCTTTTATAAGGGCAATTGTCCTAGGATTTAGAGTCCACCCAGATAATCCAGGATCATCTATCTCAAGATTCTTAGTCTAATTACATCTGCAAAAACCTCTTTTGCAAACAAATTAACATTCACAAGTTCTAGGGATTACCATGTGGACAAATCTTTTTGGAGGCCACCATTTAACACATTATGACATCTTAAAGTTATTACACTGTACTTTTGAGTAATATTACTTCCAATTGTCATATGTCTTCTTTCTATATCTGTTATAAATTTCTCAAAACGTCATTTTGGCTTAGAAATGTCAATTGTCTTTTAAAGAGATTTTTGAAGAAAGTATTCCTTCCATATTTACCCACATACATATATTTACCATTTCTGATGGTCATTGTTCCTTCTTCCATCTGGTACCCTTTTCCTTCTTCCTAATGGGCTTCCATGAACATTTCTGGTAGTGCTGGACTAATGTTAATGAGCCTTCAATTTTGAAAATTATTTGGAAAGATACAGAATTCTAGGTTGATAATTTTTTCTTTCAGTATCTTAAAGATGCTGCTCCTGGGTTTTCTGGCTTACATAGTTTTCAATCAGAAGTTAGCTGTCATTCTTTTTTTTTTTAGAGACAGAGTCTCACTTTGTCACCCTTGGTAGAGTGCGATGGCATCACAGCTCACAACAACCTCCAGCTCTTGGGCTTAGGTGATTCTCTTGCCTCAACCTCCTGAGTAGCTGGGATTACAGGTGCCTGCCACAACACCCAGCTGTTTTTTTGTTGCAGTTTGGCTTGGGCTGGAACCGAACCCACCACCCTCAGTCTATGGGGCTAGTGCCCTACTCACTGAGCCACAGGCGCCGTCCCATTCTTACCTTTGTTCTTCTGTAATATGACTTTTTTCTTAGGCTGCTTTTAAGGTTTTCATTTTAACACTATTTTTCAGCAACGTGATTATGATGTGTCTTGGTTGGAATTGCCTATGTTTCTTTTGTTTGGGGTTTATTGAGCATTTTGATTGTGTGAGTTTATGATTTTTATCAAATTCAGAAAAACATTGGCCATTGTTTCTTTGCAAATTATTTTGATCTCCCTTGATCTCCCCTCTCCTTGGATTCCAAGTACATATATTTTTTTACCATGGCTTCATATTATCTTGTTCACCATAACTACCTTCTTCACTTTTTTGTTTGCTTGCAGTTTTTGGCCGGGGCTGGGTTTGAACCCGCCACCTCCAGCATATGGGGCCAGTGCCATACTCCTTTGAGCCATAGGCACCGCCCCCATCTTCATTTTTTTCAGTGTTTTTTCTTTTCTTGCTTCATTTTGGATGATTTCTTTTGCTGTGTTTTCAAGTTCATTGACCTATTATTTGGTGGTGTCTACTCTGCTTCAGTCCTACCCTTTGCATTTTTTATCTCTGAGATTGTGTTTATTCATCTAGAGAAGTTCAACTGTAGTCTTTTAAAATATCTCGTATTTTTCTCCTCCTTATACTCATCTTTCTTCTGCCTTCATTAGCATATGGAGTGTATTTATAATAACGTTTTAATATCCTTGTCTACTAAATATATCATCTGCATTATTTCTGGATTTTTTCTATTGATTGATTTTTTTCCCTGCTTATGATTTGTGTTTTCTTACATTTTTGCCTGTGTGATAATTTTTAATTGGATGCTGAACATGGTGGAAATTCACATTGTTGAACACTGTCTATTTGTTTGCTTTTAATATTCCCTTACGTGTTTTAGAGTTCTTTCTGAGATGTAGTTAAATCACTTGGAATCAGTGAGGTCTTTCTGAGGATTGTTTTTCACTTTGTAGCAGTGGGCCCAGGACAAATTTTAATCCAGGACTTC